CTTTTCGATCATTAAACACCTAGCAATTTTAGATTCCTTGTAAATGAAGGCGAAATCTTCGGAAATAAATTAAGAGATTTCATATAGATTGTTCCTGCAATTTTAACTCTGTCGTTTATGAAAGCTTGGCTTAGATGATTTACTTTAGAGATAGTTTAATGATAATATGCGTCTAGGAAAATTTACTACCAGTAATTCATATTATACTAATTAAAAGTCCTATAAGGTAATACATGCAACGAAAAGTTAGAACAATGTTTAGATTTTCGCGTTAAACACCTTGCTTGATTGTTATGAACGAATAGATTTTTAATTCAATTCCAGATTGTATGATCATTTTTCTGTACACATATTACTTTTTCAATTTTTTGTCGGAGTTCGTGTAAAGATTTGCTTCAAGTTTAGTGAATTAATATTCATATTGGTTTCTTTACACAACTGTACATTCCTAATAGTAAGCAAGAACATGCTTATATGAGTTTATAGACGTCATTACGTTTGATTTATGTTTACTTATCAGCTTGCTTAGACTTTTTAGGCGTTCATTTACGAAATTTTAAATGTTACCATCTAAGTTCATAATTGGAAATTAGAAAATGTAAGAATTTCCCATTCTGAAATCTAGCTATATCTATCTATAAGCTGGAAAATATTTCGTAATTGCTTAAAGTTCGTAGGGTATGACGATTGAATAAAATTTTTAATGCAATTTTGAATTGAAATTCATGCTAAATTGAAAGCACTTTCGTCACAAAACAGCTTTGCAACAAGAAACACTTTTGCTCTGCTAGCAGACTACACAAAGACTTAAACGCCTCGTATTTTACGTTAAACACTAAGTTGGACAATTCTTCTTTGTTTCACGATATACTGCATTTATATACTGTTCCTCAATAGTTCATGAGTCATAGTTAATACAATTAACCTCGGAATCATTTACTGAATTAAATATTAATTTTAGCTACTGCTCCCTTAATGCGGACAACAGTATTTACGAACATAGACATGTAATGACTAATACAGAATAGTCAGATTACGATATGTCCTATCACGGAACATTTCCATGATAATTTACAGTCTACCATAAGTAAATTACAATCACAATGATTCGAACTGTAAGCAGATGATTTGCATTCCCTATTATAACTATTATAATTTCAGTATGTGTATAAGTGTCACTGTCATAAAAAGTCAGTGCTATATTAAAATACAGTATATCCAAATTAGAAGTTAACTAAATAAGGATAGTCTAACAGAATTATCCTAACATAGTTATTTCTACTGTAATACAGTATTTAACACTGTAACAACTTTACATTGAGCTTTGTCTATTATAGGAATGATGCGATTATTTGATTCTTATATTATAATTAATTCCGCTATAATGATTACGAAAACAACCCTTAGTTTTGTATTGGCATACGAGCTAAATACTATTTCCCCTTTCCAAGCTTAATAACTAGCGGTCAATTGCGTGTTCTCAAATCTGTTAGAGTATTCACTTTATTGCGCTGAATAGCCCTAAGAATTAATAATCCAGAATTTTAATTTTTAATAGTAAACTTTATGTCCACCAGCTCAACATTTATAGTGTGTTGAACTCTAGTCATTGTTATGTTAAGAGAATTTGACGCAATTATAGTATAAGTGACGAATTAAGATATTAAAGAGAACACTGATGCTATTATTTTATCGTAGAATGAAAATCCATACAATTAGGATTACGTTCATTATTTGCTAATATGGATTAATAATTAAGACAACAAGACACCACTTGATGCCATGTTGATTCTAAGAACAGCCTACTTAAATTTCATCTTCTCAATCAAACCAGTTAGGAATAGATTCGTCATTTTAACAAGCGATCTTATACATTTATTAGAAAATAATAACTTCATAAATATTATGACCATAAATAACAAATGTACATGCGATTATATTTCGGTACTATTATCCTTGGCATTTTAAATTGTGCCGTAAATCATCCACAAGATACTTCATTGTAGACTTGGATTAGGAAGACACTTTCCCAAAACCGAAATTTAATATGTCTTACTTGAAATTAGCTACGCTACAAAATATATAACAATTCCTGGTAAATCGTTCAATTTATTACAATAGAAGCTATTTCGAGCATTATTTTTCTATGACAGTAGCTTTCATATTTTTAAACACTATAAATTGACATTACAACTTGAAGATTTAAGACTATATCTCTACCGATCAAAATATTTTAATTTCAAGTTAATGCAATGCGAAATAAATTTTGCATCTGTTGTAAATGCTTGTCAGTAAACCAACGCTCATTTTATTAGAAATTTGGATACTTCAAAACACATAATTTACTAATGTTGTTAGTAAGAGCAACCGTTAATTTTTCAATGATTCCTTCGAGAATTGGACATTTGTAATTAATTGTTTCATTCAACACTATAATAAATGATGGTGTTTACCTCATAATGACATCCTGGTAAGGATTTCATTAATAATGTATTTAATTAAAGATTTAAATGATATATTTTCACAACTGATATTCATTTTTATCGCATACTGATACAAAAATTATATCTGAATATAGCATCAGTTAATCATCCGTGTCTTTGGCAAAGAAATGAATTTTTAAATTATGAATATTGGTAACATTTGATTGTTTAATTTCTAATTAATATTATAGAACTATTTTGACGACGGAACAAATGTATCAATAATTAAATGATACATCAAAATATAGATCGTCTATGTCATCAACTCAATAACCAATTAATGAAGATGAATAACACCTGCCATTATCCAATATTTAATAACTTAAGTATTCATTACTCAAAATATTATTTTATGGCAGAAAAAAAATTGGATTAAAATGCAATAGACGTAATGCCTTCAATATACGACTCAATTTAATTCAAAGCATCATGGCTATACGAAGACAAAGAAAACTCGACCCAATTTCAGATTATGCTATGCAAAGTTAACTTATCTATCAATGCAGCTACTCAATAATTATGTGAATGGAATGCTTTACACAGCTTTTGGTACATATGCAAGTCGACTGTTAATTTATTACTAGTTTAACTGTAATCATTAAAAATACTAAGAAAAATAAATTTTACATTACTTAAATTTGATTATTAACTACTGTAAAATTTATTTTTCGTATACGCAAATGTATGAAGCAATTTAGACAAGTAAGTTATAGCAACATAAATTAATTTTATTACATAGTATAGCTTTCAGTATTAAATTTTATAAGTTTGGCAAACTTGTAAGAAAGCTATTTTACTGTATTAAAATATGATATGTACGTATAAAAAGCTAATTCGGTCTATCATGGCAACATTTAGATTATAAGTACATATTTTTAGTGGGTCTATTTATTTCAAGGTTTCGTTATATTCATAATGCTAAATGGAGATCATGAAACAGGCAATAGATAATTTGAGAGTGAATCTAATGATATCGTAATTTAAAAGTTCGAAATTAAACATTTTAACGTCATTCATGTAAAATTATCAGCTCTCCTGGAAATTACATGTAACATACGTATATTATATATTGAAATGGATCGCTTTAAACATATAAGCAAATTTCTGATCATTAGCGTATGCCTATTATGACACCATATTGCTCGTTTGGAATAATTTAATTGCAAATGTCAATACGGAACATTATAGACTATTGCAGAAAAAATTAAAATTTGGATTACTAATATGAGCGCCTTAAATTTCTATTTTCTAAATGTATTATCCTTTTATTTCAAACAAGAGAAAACTTAATAGCTGATAAAAGATTCAGTCGCTCATTGTTTCATCTTTTGAGCTCAAATAGTTTAATTTATTCACTCTTGTACTTTATAATATGCGAAACTCGCTTCAGCAGCATGCTAAATTACTACCGCGAATGATCTTGCTTTGCAATTGATGACTATGTGGGGTTATTATATTAAAATATAATGTTTCTGAAAAAGAAAATTTATTTCTCTTATTAAATCAAAACCTGAAAGCTAGGTCACAAAAAAAATCGTAGTATCTTATCGGTTACGCGTTAAGCTATACCGATTTAGTTTGACATTTAATACTTCTGCGGCTTTTAATAACATTTTATTATAGTTTTCTATTTTTTCTATTTTACTTATTGTACATCTTTATTTACAATATCTGAATTTGTTCTTTATGTTATTTAAAAGTTTCTCTTGCATTTAAAATCTGTCGTGGGAGGTATGCTTTATGTACGTCTAATATCATATCTTTTGTTCATTCAAACTAGAAAAATACCTCTGTCGTCATATGTAAAAGAAGGAATTTACCTTTAACTTGCACTATCAATCCATTGGCATTAATGTAAACTAGCGAAAGAGAACTAAATCCGGAATTATCGTCGCTATTTCACCACAGTATTTTCTTCGAATGAAAGCATTTCATACATTTTCTATGAATCTGTTGGAAATATAGCGAACTTTTTCATGTAAAACTGTTAATTGCATATACAGTCGACATATAATTAACAAGAACAAATTTAACCTGTTTTTTCTTTTCGATTTGGGAATCATCTTAATTTAGATCCCTTTGTAGAAGAATTTTCAAGGTAGTAATCTTACAGGAACAGACTTGGCACTAGTAATTTTTGCAGTGTAACTCAGATTTATTGAGGCTTACGAAATGAATACTTAAATTTTCAAAACGCACAAAGAAGTTTTTAAATTTATCATTTGATAGAAATTTTGGTAGTTTACGAAATATCTTATTTCTAGGCGCATACAACTATTTTGGAATACTTTTCATCTAGCTATACCACTAAAACATTGTCAAACCTGCTGCTCCATGCTGTCATATTTCGTCATCGTTTATTACTAGCTGATATATCTCAAAGTTTTTCCTTGCTCAAATTTATTATAATTATCAATCGATTCATTATACTTACTTACTAAAGAAATGTGGGCCAAGGAAAGCAGTCGATTTTTATTGATTATCTATATTCATATATTATTCTTCTCAATTAAGTCTATGGCGATAGAATTTGGAGATATAAGAGTTGAAGCAAAAGGTTTTCCCCCACTTAGTGGCAATCATGTGGCTGGAAATCAAGTGTCGAATATAAATGGTCGCTATGGTCAAGAAATAGACTTTAAGACGGTTTATATCTTTACCGTATTCATCACCGGAATTATCTGCAATGCCATCGTTATTGCTACTATTGCTTATAATCGCCAACTTCATTCTGTAACTAATTATTTTATTGTCAGTCAATGTTGCGCTGATTTCTTATTTGCGGCTTTAGTTTTACCTGCATACTGTCTGCAAGGTTTATTAGGCTATTGGCCATTTATGCCAGAGTGGTGCGCTATCCATGCTTGCTTATCAATTAGTTTAGTAATGACATCATTACTCAATTTATTTGCAATAAGTCTGGATCGATATTTGGCCATATGTCGGCCTTATCAATATCACACTTGGATGACTACACGCTTCGTGATTGGAATGCTGCTATATATTTGGTTTCAGCCGCTTCTGCTAGCCTTGATTCCAGTATTTGGTTGGAGAGGTGTTCAATCAACTATTGGCAGTCATTGCGTTGTCGATTTATTTCTATACATAAAACAAGAGAGAATTTATTTGTTAATTATTACATTAATTAACTTTTATATCCCAGCAACAATAATGTTTACTTTATATATCCTGATATTTAAAGTTGCTATCCGCCATATTCATAATATTGAACAACAAAGGAATGTTCAAAGAAAGCAACATTATTTTGGATCTATTCAAGATCAACTTAATCATCGTTATTTGCGCTTAGCTAAAAACGATTTTCGATTAATACTTGTCTTTGTAGTTGTTAATGGCGCATTTTATTTATGTTGGACGCCATTTATGACATTTGGCTTAATAAGCTTATTCCATTTAGGACCTGTAACTGATAACTTAGGAATTGCTTGTAGTCTAATGGCGTTTACAAATTGTACACTCAATCCGATCATACATAACTTTTTTAATCGAGAAATTCGAAGCGGATTTTTCAGGATGGTTTGCTTCCATACCAGACGCAAGCCTATCAATAGGAGCAACACGCATATGTCAGGCACTCAATGTTCGTCTACTCATGGGAGTACATTTGTTATACGTCACGATCTTATTTCTGCTAAGGATAAAGCGATTATCGAGCAACTGGTTAACGTGAGCAGGATGAAAGCAAAGAAAGTGACTTATATTTGAGATTAGGCAGTTTCAGTAATATATGGTTGCATAACATTTTCTAATGCGAAAGATTCATTTATTGCCATCTCTCCTTATAGAAGATTTCCAAGCTTAAGTTTCAAATCCACCGTAAAATTGCTAAATATTACCAGAGCCATACTCATATAAGTAATTTTGCAAGAAATATGAGATTAAAAAGAAATAATATTCTCTTTCATTATAAAATAACTTTAGGAATAGAAATACTGACATAATAATTTTTGAGAGGTGAATATTTTAAATTCCTTTACTAAATCATAGAAAAATATTTCTATCATCAAGTTTTGTAGTTTAGTCGTATATCTGGAACATATAAAGGTATATTTGTATAGTACCTATTTAATTGAGGTTGATAAACTCTCTTCATATATCATAATTATTGACTATCTTAAATATTTTAATGAAGGTAATTCTGACGCTAGATATTAGGATTTATAAGTATATGCCATGCCAAATTTTTCCCTCGTAACCTGGAATAGGCATTTGGTAAAATGCCAATTTTCCTTTTTTAAATCTCATCTTTAAGAAGTTGTTGACATGATGTTATGTGTCACTAGTAAGCGAAGTAACTATTTGGGGTAATTTAATTAAAATCAAAAATTAATAACCTCCAAGCATAGAAAGTTCAGATGAATAAAACAAACAAACCATTTTAGTGATATGTAAACTAAAAGATACTACGGTGTACTTTGTAGTATTAGCTTAGAAGATATCAATTATTGATACAATTGTAGTAGGATTTTGAAGAAAAAATGAAGCTGTAACCAAATGATATTGTATAGGAAGGCATTGATATTATAATTTAAATTTATGATTAAATAAAGGATATCATAACAAGAAAATACTGATTCTACATTGAGTAGATTAAAAGTTTGATTAAAAGTTCAGTGTGTCTTATGTGCTATCTACTGTATTTTAGAAGATAAAATTTGCAGTATATGCTTGTACAGTAAATGACTAGGGTTACATACGCTTAACAATCCCGCTCAAGGCTGCTTTTCTTACAGGATAGTTTATGCTGTTGGCATAACGATATCGATGTTAATTATTCACTTAATGCCAGTTATAGTTGTTATAGTTAAGTATATCGTGATGGGAAGGAGCAGGGATTAGCTCACGAAGTACTCCGACTATCGAAACGTTGGTATATTCGACTTATTGACTCGCAATAACTTGGAAATCTTCGGTTAAGTAGTACTCCTCTTCTCGATTAGCTACACTGCCAGTAACTGCGAACTAAGAATAATGTAATGCACGTGTATCCTAAGGTATTGCCTGGTGATGCAGGGCTTCTAATCTCTCAGGAGAAATTCAAGTTACTAATTGTACATTTCGACTACCAATTTTGAAGAAACAGCTGACTCCCGAATACTTGAATACTATACAATCTAAATACAAGTTTTCGTTATGATGTGTGCGAACAGACAAGACTGATCGGTCCTTTACGCCTAATTTACATTCTAAACCGCAAGCGAGTACAAAACTAAGATTAAAACAATAGCCCTTTTTTTGATCACTAAGCTTGTGAAACTTCAGATTTTATAAATGGTTTAAGTTACGTACACTATTGCTGCATTTTTTGATTACTATTATTAAATTATTCAAGTTCTATTCCGTCACAAATCGTAATTTGTAATTAACAATATGGCTTATAGAGTAAAAATTGACGTTAGGAAAATACTGTCAATATCTTCAAGAGTATTTACAAAAAAATCTTATGAATAGTACTAGTACATTATTGTAGCAACTACATCAAACGGCCGAAATGAGAGAAACACAGTAAAAGCACTATTCTTAACTTCTTAATACGATCCGCTTAAATATATGGAATACCAATTTGTTATCGAACCAGAATATTGGATAACCTCTGTTATTCCGTTAATACTCTCTGTAGGATGCGTCAAGAGTTCATTAATTAAGCATCCTATACGAGGCGGCATCTGACAGGAAAGAGAAATATTGCAAGGATGCATTTCTAGTTTCCTCTTCATAATCCCAACTGTAGTTTTCGATCGTTGCTAAGTTACTCCATATAGCAAAATTATCCAAGTACTATGGTCGAGCGTTCACTAATTCAGTATGAAATCTGTTTTCTACTGAAGTATGCGGACGGTCGATTTTGAGTTGAATCATTTTTTCTAAATTTAGTACTATTACTTTAAAATTGAATTTTATTATCTATGACTAAGTTTTGCTTAGAAAAATTTCTATAAGGTTATCAATATTAGTACCAGTAATATAGGAAACAGACGCGGAAGATCATTAATCGAGTAGCCATTTTTCGAAATTTATGGCCTCCTTTGGTGAGAAAAGTCCGCACTGTCAGCCGATTGATCGATCTTGGATGGACAGACGTTTTCAGCCTCATCGCGTTAAATATCTGTACCAAACAGTCGGTTATAAATATAATACTGTATATAGGTCTAGCTGGACTTTACCGGTAACAGCCAGCCATTACTGGTAATGGCCGGATTCCCGGCTATGGCCGTAACATATTTGACTATGTCACACTATACGGACGGTCGATTTTAAATGGACTGATTTTTTCTCAATTAAGTAATATTACGTTGAATTTTATTATCTTTTACCAAGTTCCGCTTAGAAATAGTTATGTATAAGATTGTGGACGTTATTTAATTTACTACCAGTGATTTGGAAAAGATACTAAGAAGGAAGTAGGCATAGTACGATATTTGCAGCCTCATTTGTTGCTGAAAGTCCGTCTGTCTAGACACTCTTGGACGGACTGACATTTGGAACAAGATCTGGTTAAAATATTGCGCCAGAAGCAAAATTTGTTACTGTTACATTACGATCGGGACGCGAAATGATGACACCCCTCGTCCTGTCTTTCTGTCCTTCCATTTGGTAATGATGGTATACACTGCGGTACTGTATATGATGCAAAATATCTGTCGGCAGAGTACAAAACAGCAAGACTGGATGACGAGGAGTGACATCTTTTCGGGTCCAGATCGTAGGTTACCGCATAACGATTCCAGCGAATTGACAGTTTTCAAACACAATTGTACTACTGTAGATGGATTTATTACACGTAATTCCGTAGGTTAGAGTCAGGATGGTACCGTATAAATAGCCTAAATACAGTAGAAAGAACGCGTCTATTTTTTTTTAGCGTTACCTTGAGGGTATGTCTGACTATGTCTGACTATGACATCACGGCAATTCGTACAGTACGCATGAACGCTTCAACCAACTCCTACAGCGCATTCATGAGGTAGAAAAATAGCCAATGGTATACAAGCTCGTTCTTTATATTGGTCATCCGGATCGGTGACAGATGTACAGACGTACCGATCTCCATCAGCACCAACGACGGTACTGTAGTAACAAGATAAAACATACAGCACGTTACAACCAATCACAGGGGCTTGTAAATCGAGCTTTGAGAGTGGTCGCTGCACCAGAAGCCACTAGCAACTTTGCTTGGCAGCTTTTTACACTTTGTTGTTGTCCTGTTTATGGCTGGAATAGATCAATTTTAAATTGGATAAATTCATCATTACGATTCATTTGCAACATTGAAACTTACTGTGAAGACTTTCATTCAGTTGAATCCACTTTTGTGTATCATTATAGGCTATCTAGTAGCAGGTTAAAGAATCCCCTTAACTGTAATTACAAAGTAATTACAGTTGGAAAGAGCTGCAGATATCAGGTAGCGTGTCTTTGCAACACCGTGACAAGTTGACTAGGCTGCTTCTCGTTTTTCACTCTTGAAGAAATTATTGCTTACAATGGCGGAACCAAGTCGATGTGCATGGTCTAGTCATGGCAATGCACTATGCAATGACTATCATGATACCGAGTGGGGTGTACCTGTACATGATGATGCTAAATTATTTGAAATGCTCATCTTAGAAGGTGCTCAAGCTGGCCTCAATTGGAATACGATCTTGAGAAAACGTGATGGATACCGTCGTGCTTTTCACAAATTTAATGTTAAAAAAGTAGCTGCCATGAAGGATAAGCAGTTAGAATCGCTATTACACAATCCAGATATTATTCGTAATCGTTTAAAAGTCTATTCTGTACGTAAAAACGCAAAGGCGTTTATAGCTATCCAAAATGAGTTTGGTTCTTTTGACAGTTATGTCTGGCAATTTGTTGACGGCAAGCCTGTTATAGGAAATCGAAAAAAAATCCAAGATTTGCAGTCAAAGTCCGATATCAGTGATGCTATTTCCAAAGATTTGAAAAAGCGTGGCATGAGCTTTGTTGGTTCAACCATCATGTATGCTTTTATGCAAGCTGTAGGGCTAGTGAACGATCACACTACCAATTGCTTTCGATATCGTCAATTAGTGAATAAAAAATAAATCAATCCTCATGCTGCATTTGGAAATGGAAGACATAACTATAGTTGTCTTACTCTGAATTGGTTATAGTAAGGCAGATTAACTTATGAAATTGATCCAGATGTACGTAGCACAACACATATCCGCCTACACAGTAAGTTGACTTTAGGCATGCAATCAATCAATCAAGCTTCTTACCTAGATGATGGTATTTATCTACTTGTTATCAATGATGGAAAATTACCACAATGTTAAATTGGCAGATGCAAATGACTTAGCAGCCTGTTTCTGCTGAAACTTGAATCGTTCCTGCTGTTCAGAATAATGTATACGAGTAAGTAGCTATTCTTCGCTCAATTAAGGAGCAGTTCACGCGAGCAATTGCAGTGCTTTATCTTTGACACTGTTTAGCCTCTACTAGATAACTTGCATTTTGATGATAAGACAAAATGTTTTGAACGAATGGTTTATAAGTGCTAACATACTGTATGGGTACTTTTGCTTGATATTTACTGTAAATCACTGATACATCAAGGTCTCCAGACGATTTCTTCATAAATTAGTATTTACTGATTTATTCTAATAACGTCTTGCCGTAGATATCCGTATCTTTAGCAATATCTTAATCTTTTGGTTTTACGTTTGTGAAGCTATTTCCTGAGATGATAGTTCTTTGCCACTAATTATCGAGTATCTACTGCATGTGCAATAGAAAGGTGTTTTAAGAATTGTCTTCTCTTTTGAAACTTGTGGAGAATGGATGTTATATTACAACTTGAGTCAATCATGATCTTAACTTTATTCTTCAATTTAAGGTATTGTTTATTTCGCTATTTGTTATTGCAATAGTAACTGTAGAATAGACAATATTAACACCATGAAAACTCCAATAAAGTAATGTGCTATTTATAAGTAATATTGATAGGTAATATTTACCAATCAATCGCTTTGTGAAAAGCAAGTTTGTAAACTTCATTACATTTACTATATTTATTGCTTATATACTCCCTGTATCCTATTTCCAGTATTTCGTGAAGGATATTTTTGATAATTGATTTAATTTTAGCAATGTGAAAGGCAAAAGATAATCAATTACTGTTATTACCAATTTTGATCTTTCTCAGTTAGATTATTAAATTAATTAAATTGTGCATAACGTTAGTACATTGCTCTTGATGCGGTCGTCAACAATTCTCCGCAATCTTGGAAAGGCATCTTTAATAGGAGGTATATTTGAGAGTAACAGTATGTCGATTGTAACGTTATAAAGTCCAATGTTTAAGTTTGAGATAATATAATATCATATAGTACTGTAAAATACGTTTTTGCCATTGAGAAAGCCAGCTGATGTCCGATATATTGGAGATATTTATTTTATATATAAGTATATGGTACTTACTAGTAGAAATACAACAACAAACAGTCCTTCCTGTACTAATAACATTAAAAGCAGAGCTGTCGTGACAACAGCTCATTACTGTAGTTGTATGTTTTGCATTTTTATGGGAATGGTATGAAGTTAAGACCTGCATACGTTAAAACAGTCAATTTCACTTAATAAATAAACTTAGATTGTGGCTGGTGAATGATGAAACGGCATACTTATACCATTCGATCTATGTGTAATTCAAGCTTACTTAGATTTGGTCTCTAAGTATTAAGTGTGGAATTCTTTCATTGTAGTTGTGCGACGTTTTCCCAAGGTGATATAATTAACCACTAATGCAGTATCACTTCTAAGAGTGATTGCCTTCGATGTGGTATGAGATATCTTTTCAATGTTAGTAGAACTTGTCCATCGACTAGATAATTTCTCATTATTAAACTGTAATAGTTTGTGGCCCATAGCTGATGATGTGATGGAGAAGTACGGTATTTGATCTTATAACGATTACTGAAAGCCAGGACTAGCAACTTATAAGCTGTGTTTAAAATGTGTTAGCAGTTATTACTATTTAATGCTGTTGCTGTGTCTGAGTAGTTCTAAGACAGTAAGATCGCGAACTACAAACCTAAAGTAGTAGCAGTGAGGCTGCTACTTAACTTTCTAAATTTCAGAGGCGATAACGAAACATAGGAAATAGAACATCAAAATGACAAGTTGGAAATAAATATAGCTTAGTTTTGATACGAAGTGATTCTTGAAGGATAAAGATTCCTAATTTTTGCAAGTAGTTGAAAATGTTTAAAATTTAAAACGTTTAACGTTCTGGCGATGCGAGCTTCGAGATGTAGCAAACATTCTTCATGCCGACAGTAACTAGTAATAGAATATATAAGATAATACCCAACAAATGGTTATCCTAAGTCACTACAGTCCAATTATGAAAGAATTTCGGCAACTTGGTCAACAGTGTTGATTGAATGTATTTTATTGTTAGGAGATTGGTGTTCCTTCTGAGTTTCATTGCAGCCAATATTAGTGGTGGGTTCCTGTGTATTCGTAGATTTTTCTCGAATACCTCCTTTAGCAAAAGTAAAATGAGAAATATTTTTAGTGGCTTGTGCCCTTGTATTTAAATGGGGTCGAAAAAATATAATATACAACTTGGGAAGAAATAAGAAAATCATAGGAGCTGCCCCTAATAAGAGGGTATTTGTTATGCTTAACGCAATAGTAGCGACGCCTGAGGTAAAGGAATCAACCATAAACGTGGCAATCGCAATTATACTAACAGCAAGTGTAGACATGAAAATATATTTTGACTCATTAAAATTTTCAGGAAGAGAGCGCGTTTTATAAGCTAGATATAAACAAGTTGAGACAATGACTATGCTCCAACAGACTAAGTTAATATGTCCATAAAAATATTGAATATTACAATCAATGACAGTTTGATTCCCATCTCGATATTTTAATAGAGGAAAGGGTAGGATGATTATAAAGGCAGTCAAGATTCCATTAGAAAGGAATAGAAAAGCCAAGATGAAAGCTACTTGGCAGTAAGTCTTGGTATATTGCTTCCTTCTACTGCTCATGTTTGTTACGTTCTGAAATATATTCTTGACTTGATTTGTTTTACATAATATAGTGGTGTATATTCCGATGCAACTCGTAGTAACAAGATAATTCTTGACAGCACATACTTCAGGAGTGGCAGGCAATAAATGGAGGACAGATACTAGTACCAGTAAAGCAAGGAAGGCTAATAGTAGATTTATTAATATGAAATTGGAGCCCTTAACTATAGGTGTCTGTCTTTTTGCGATCATAATGGTCCAAATAAATATTAATAATAGCAAGTATAAACCTATTGCAACATAACATATTATTGAAATTGGACTAGTATATGATAGCTTTAAAATTGATAAATCAGCGCAATATGTTCTATTTATGTCTGGATTAGTTAGAATTGGGCATTTAGTACAAGTAGATTGATTTGTTGTATTAGAAATAGTCCTATTTTGACATAAACGACATGACCAGCAGCATGATCGATGTTGCAACTTTATTCGTCTATCTTGATACATATAATATCCTGGAAGACAGTCTTGCGAGCATCGTGACAGGGGTTTATTATTCCCAAATAGATGATGATTCCACACAATACTTTCTTCATTAAGAATTAGACCTTCGTTTTGATTCCAATAACCAATATCAACGGGTTCAAATCTTGACGTATTTGAATTCATCGATGATTGCAAATTAACAATATTAAAGGATATCTGACTGTTGCCATTAGGTGCAAACCGAAAAGAACGACTTGAGATACCATCAAAACGAATCTTACTTAAAATATTATTAAATTGCTGATTATTAAACGATTTTTCAGATATTGATGGGCAATAAGTTTCGTTACAGCCTAGATATTTATGTAGAGCATGAGCTAATGCTAATGTAGCATCCATAACGAAAGCTGAAATTGGACTTATTTTATAAAATGCTTGAAAATATCGAATTCTAGTCTTATTAAATGTACAATTCGGTATTTTAGCATCTATGCTAAGTATTTCTTGTAAGGCTTGTCTAAACCAGATGTTATCTAAATTATTACATAAATTAAGGCGATCCAGATAGAGATTAAACGCTTGCATAGTAACAGAATTGAAGGAAATGCCGATTACCCCATTAAGGATACTTGATCTAATAGAATAGATTGACGGAGATATCAACCAGTGATAGGAACCGATCCAAGTTTTACCTGTTAGCTGATGGATATCAGCTTGTTGAAAGAATCGATAGATGATTAATTCATTACCTAGTAGAACAACTACTTCTGATTTAGTCTGATTCTTTAATTTTAAAATAATTTTAGTAATGGAAGACAAAGTATAGTTCTGATCAATCATCAATATCTCATCATAACATATGCCGTGATTTTGGGGTAGTCGGTTAATATCTTGAATAATATTTTCACTTATGGTATTTCCAGCAATGACAATTGATATCCAATTCCAGTTAAAATAAGTTATAATCTCTTTAATGGCATACCAATATAGATCATCCGGTACAGAAGTAGAATAAAAGTAAGGAAATTGTTGCTGATCGGTTAAAGACTGATTGAAAAAATAGCTAACTTGAGTAAAGTGATTTTTGCTTGTATACGATGCCGTTTTAACGGTTATATTGTATAATTTGGCACCAATAACACCAAATATAGGGGAAGAATTAGCCGAAATATTGTAAATTGGTTCTGGTAGACTAGATGGAGCGTTATTCGTATTATTGATTTTTGTATGGCTTTGCCCTGTATTCGAAAGTTTTTGATTGGATAAAACACTGCTGAGTAATTCCATAGTTTGGTTAATAGATGAAGAAGAATCTAGAAGTGTCCAACCAACTTGAATATTGGGTAGCAAAGCTGGGTTATGATTGATTAATTCCTCAATAGTATAAATCATAGCTTGAGTAAGTTGGATATTTTCCGGGTTAAAATACCGAGATAAATTGGACGATTGGTTCTTGTAATCTACTGTGTTAGGAAAAATACCCACTAACTGCACTTGACCTGGTTTAAAAGTACTGGATTGTGAATTACATAGTTGAAAGTAGCTATGAAAAACAAAATTGGAAAGCCACAATAGAAATAAGGAGCAAAACGATTTAATATGGTTCTTCATTTTATCGATAATTGGTCAAATAACTGAATGGAAAATTGACTCGATAATTAATCATTGCTCCTCATGTATTTACATTTACTGAGACACTAATACTTCTAGATCAACTACTGGACTCGTTTAATGGTTTATATAGAATTCATTCAAGGCCATTTATATTGCTTAAGCTATAGAACATATTATTCATGCCCAGATGCCTTTATTTATATAACTGTTAAGATTAATTAGCTAACTGCTTTCGTTGTTTCAAAAAAATAATAACATTACCGTTTACGTAAGCGAAATTTTCTTATTCACGTGATGTAATAAAATCTATCATTATTCGAATAGAAAATTGTTTCCTGCTTAAATTTCTTTGTTCTAGTGATCATAAATTTGTTTTTAATTGAATTGCATAATGTGTTAGAGCTATTTATAAGTTTGAGAAATTGTAAATATTTAACGCTAGAGACCGGATTCGATAATAAAAAATAGTTGGCCATCCTATGCTGGATTTAATTAATACGCTTGACTATCCTGGAAGTTTGAAACATAATTTAATGAGTTATAAATCTACAAGTCAATTGAATTGCAGTTGCTTCATCTGCCTTTTCCTTAAATTTGGTTATCAACAGTAGAAAGTCATTTAAGCCGATCTGTTTATTGTATAAAGGGCTAAACATTGGCCAGATGTATACAGTACTAATGGAATAGACTAAATATAACTAACTAAATGAACGTAATTTATTTCTGACTGCATTTGTTAACAAATAAATTGCATTGATTTCAGATAAACATCTAATAACTGTGACAGATGATAAAATGGCAATTTATTAAAATTTATTCTTTTAACAATCGAATCAATGTTAATAGGAAAATAGGTAAGTAATTTACATTATGGGAATACAGCTAACTTATTTCATGAAATAAAATCACAAAATCACTTGGGAGTCAAAGTATTGCATTACTCTGGCTAAATTTTATTTTTCAGGACAGTTAAAAATAAATTAACACTAAATCATTCAACAGAATCGTAATAATACGTATAAACTATTTAAATAGAATTAATTATTAATTACCGAACATATTAGACTTATGAAGAACATGGATTGTATAGATAGTAATAACGGCGAACGGATCGATAAAAGTATGATGTTCGTAATATTAATGATCTGTGATAAATTGCTAGGGTAAAATGATTCAATATTTTTAGTAATGTCTTTCAAATATTCATTTAACAATCTGTTATCTACTCATTGTGGTAGCAGTTCAATTAAAGACTAGATAGCATTTTCCTTCGGTAATAATCGAAATATAAGACAACTATGGTGCTTTACTAAGTGTGTAGTAGATTTTTATTGAGCTCATAGATATAACATTAAACATTGTATAAATGGAATATAAAATAAACTAAACTGTTTTTGAGCTTCTATCCTTTGTTGAATGTAATAATCACCAGTGACTTTTAGTGAGAAGAATCTTCAATTCTATAGAGGATTTCCTGCAGGAAGTCAGTCCACAAAACAAAATAATAGTAGCATGTTCGTCATGCTAATGCTGTTAGGTTAACTGATATAGTTCTTAACGAAGATTGCATTAGCATTAGTTTTTACACATTAGCAAACATAGACTTTAACTTGTATTTGTAATGCGATTCTTTCTTGATCAATTATTTCTTATATTTTCTGACTGAAACATTAATTAAGCAGCGTCAGTAAAAATGATAAATTAAATGAATAATACCCAGCGGTAGCTGTTAAAAGGATAGTTGCTAAGGCTTTTCATTCATTTGTAGCGGTATGAGTTAAGAGACAATTTCAAAAGTTTCTGAGTTTGTGTTTTTCTCTTTTCTAATATTAAAATGAAATAACTTAGTCTATCTGTATTTCCTTGAGCACAGTGTGAGGTTGGTAGATCAAGAATCTTCAAACGTTTTGAAAATTAAGAATCGTTGCACAAAACCTCGTTTATAAATATACAGCATAATTGACAAGCTGAGGACCTCTAACGAGAAAGTGCTATTTTATTGTACTAAATTGCTCGCATATATACTTTTCCTCATTAACAATCTTACATACTACGCACTGCAGTATTGGTATCTCAAATACAAGATAAATTAGACCTTTCATGTGAAGCTCTAGTGTGAGCACTGTAGCACTCTTCTTCAAAAGGATACAATTACTAAGCTAGCTATATTCAATACTTAACCCTCTAAAAGAATATCTATCATACGCTGAACATAATAACTACGGTAAACATTACTAAATATATCATCAACTTAGAATACAATATTACACTGTCCTACTCATGGATATCAACAAAAACTGAAGAAAGATTGCTTATGTCAAAATTTCTAGAAAATCCGTCTAATATAATGATTTCCCAAGTTTTGATCAATTTTATATCAGCTCCAAGCGAATAGTTCATTTGTATTGTGTGCGATTTACAAAAAATATTACCATTTGGTAATAATCTTAATTTACTCATTTATTTAAAGAGAGTTTCTGATAACTACAGTATATGAACTTATTTATAGTGAAACGGAAAAAGAACAATTCTTCTTATTAAGGTTAATCTTTTGCAGCAGGATTATTAACTCTTGAATATGCAACTATAAATCTTGTAAATAATGGTTGTCCTAAATTTTAATAAATATTTTGATAGATAGAAGATATCATTCTGAATAATTTTATCACGATTATCGATTATGTATTTTAGTTCGGCTTGTAATTTAGAAAATATCTGATTTAGTATTGTGATTGGCTGTCATTATGAAATTGTCTATCATTAGATCGCTATCGAAAAATTTCCCAGTTAAACTCTTACTATCTGAAATCTCGTGATAGAAAGGTCATTAAATTATTAATATTAAAATATTACTACATGAAAAGTTAAGAATCGACTCAGTTAATCATTAGTTGGTACATATGGTCTGTATATTATCTAAAAGTTTACCCTACTCGATTTTTCTGAGCTTCCTTTGCTAAGTATTTTATAAACTATTTGAAAGCTATGTCGCTAAAATTTATGTAACATTATTTTCAGAAATATTCGCCATAATAGGAAAACTTAAGGTTATAAATATTTCGACATCAATATGCTCAGGCCAAATTTAAATATACAAAATGGTTTACTAAAGTACGTGAAAAAATCTGAACCACATCACAATATGGTAATTTCCTGATTTCTTCATTCTATATTGCAGTATAGAGTATATAATGATACTTGCAAGTT